CAAGAGGCCGGTCCACAGCCAGACCAGCCACCGCCCCCCTTACCACCCCCCCAGAAGCTGGTCCGCAGCCAGTCGTGCCGGGGCCACACGCCCCACGTGTCCAGGCAGTACTGCCTGCGCTGCAAGTCGGTGAACGGGAGGGCAGGGAACATGTCGGTCACGTTGTTGCTGGAGAAGGTCAGGTTGATCTCGGTGCAGGCCTGTGAGCCCCCAGGGTCAGTGCAGCACATGCCACCCCCACCGCCCCACCCGGCCCCGGGCCCCTGGCACCCGCACCTGGTAGTCCCAGGCCTTGGCATCCGGGCCGGTGCCGCAGCCCGTGGGATCGGAGCAGCTGCGGTACTGCCGGTAGATGTCGTAGCACGGCTCGGTGCCCGAGGAGTTATAGACCAGCCCTGGGCAGGGGGCGTGCTGGGCTAGGGCTGCGCAGACCCCACCAGCCTTTGCCCTGGGAGGGCCCCACAGGGGCCCTGAGGTGCCCACGCCCAGGGAGGAGTGCCCTGGCCCCGGACTCTGTGAGGCCCACACACCCAGCCCCAGCCTCTGGGAATCCTTGCAGCCCCACACACCCTGAGGCCCAGTGGGCGGCACCCCAAGCCCACCAAGCCACACACAGAGGTGGGAGTCCTCCGGTGGCTGCTCCTACCCCAGGCAGGGCTGTTGGGGTCAGGTTGGGCACCTAGTTCAAGGCCCAGATGGGGCAGGAAGCAGAGCCCTGCAAGGGCCGCAGACCCTCGCTCTGCACTCTCTCCCCTCCACCCCCCAGCCCAGGGCACAGAGATGCACCTGTCAGGGCTCGCAGTCCGGGGATTGGCTGTGCCTCCCTCAGCAGCCGGGCACAGCCCACCTGGAGGAGGAGCCACGGGCATCTGAGCCGGCTGGCCGCTCCACCGCCGCCGTCCCAGCTGTCTTCACCAGTGCCCGTGGGGTACCTCACCTTGACCGGGTGGGCGGGGAAGTGCCCCATGAAGCTGGTGGGGTATGGGTAGTCCATCATGGCCAGTACCGTGAAGGCGTTCCGGGCGAACGCGAAGAGCTGTGTCAGGTCCCTAGGGCCCGAGAGTGGCTGGCAGGTGCCGAATTCCCGGCTGACTGTTTCATGGGCTGCAGCAAAAGAGCAGGGGGAGGCTGGGAGAGGCGGTGGGCGCTGGCCAGGTGGCGGGCACGGCGTGGCAGTGGGCCTCACCTCCCTGTAGGAACAAGTCCTTCATCTGCCGGAAGGCCTCCCGCACGCCCTGGGCACACTCGGGACTCTGGCTGGTGAAGTCCTGGAGAAAGCCCTCTGCTGTCGCTGTGGCCACTGTCCCGGGCCCCCCAGGCCACCCTGGACCCTCGCTTACTGTGGTGACGTCCCGGAAGAATTGGTAGGAGTCGCCAAGGCCTGCGACAGCTATGACGGGGGCACTGGCGGCCAGTGCCCCTGCCACCAGGTGGGGGTACTTCATCCTCAGGTAGGCGCTGAGCATCCCCCCGTAACTAGGGGTCACACGGGTTACAGCTGGGCCCTTCTTGGAGTCAGCGCCCCCACCACCAGGTGGGGGTACTTCATCCTCAGGTAGGCGCTGAGCATCCCCCCGTAACTAGGGGTCACACCGGTTACAGCTGGGCCCTTCCCGGAGCCACCCTTGGGTTCAGGCCAGCAGCCCCAGCCCTGGGCTCCCCCTGAGGATCCGGGCTGGTCCTGACCCTCCCACCGGCCTCGTCCTCCCTCAGAGGCCCCATGCCCCCTGGGCTCCCAGGCGGCCGTGACCTGGGTGGGCACAGGGCGGAGGGCCAGGGCTCGGGCGCGCTGGTGGCCTTCCTCCGCAGAGAGCGCGCACCTGCCTCCGAAGGCGACGGCGGGGGTGTCGTGGGCCCCCAGGTCCCGCCGCAGCGCCTGCAGCAGCTCTGCGAAGTCGGCCAGGGCCTGCTCGACCGTCAGCAGCTCCGTGCGCCCGCGCTCGACTGCTCGCCGAAGGGCAGCGACCGGCCGTAGTAGCGCTGTGGGCGCAGGGACGCCGCTCAGCCCCCGCCGGCCTCCCGGGGCGCCCTGCCCCAGCGCTACCCACGTGCTCCGCGAAGACCAGCAGGGCCGCCTGCTGCGCCGCCAGCTCTGCCAGGAAGCCCGAGTTGTTGGCGAAGGTCCATATGTCGCCCTCGTTCCCCGTGTAGAAGAAGATGGGCCCCTCGCCGCGTCTCCAGAACCTGTCTGTGGGCGGAGGTGGGCGGTGGGCGGTGGGCGCAGCGGGGCGCGGGGAGCCCGGGCTGAGCCAGGGGGCGCACCTGACACTAGGACCCGCTGGCGGAAGGTTCTGTTGCCGAATCTCTCGAAGTTGAAATGGTCCAGGAGCTGGTCAAAGTACCTCTCCCGGAAGTCGGGGTCTACGGCCCCGCGGGCCTGGCGCTCGCCACCGGCGGTCAGCAGCAGCCCCAGCCCCAGAAGCAGGACTGGAGCCCCAGGAGGGGCGAGCCCGCCGGAGACCCGGAGCTGGGAGCCCATGGCTTTGCCGGCCGGCGCAGTCAGCCACTGTAGCAGGGTCACATGACAGCCTCACATGACAACCCTGGCGGCCATTGCCCCTCCCCACAGGCCGGCTTCCCTCCTCCTAAGCTCCAGAGGTTCTTAGATGCCCTCCGACCCCCATAGAGACCGTCGCCATGGGGACCCATGCAGCAGGCCCCGCCGGAGCGGGAGAGCTGGGCCAGCTGAGGTTGGTGACTGCTCCCCTGAGCCAAAGAGGTGGAGGCCTCCAGCTTGGCCCCCTGGCTCATCCCAGCGTGGCCCTGGCCACGCTGCAGCCGCTTCCTGCCACTGCTCACTCCCCTGCTCCGGGTGGCCCAGACGCCCCGGCCCCAACATTGCCGCTGGAAGTGGGGCCGCGGTAGGGAGCAGAGGGACAGCCCTGTGTGGTGCCCAGTTTGGCAGGAGGAATGAAGCTCTTCAGCCCCTGAGAGTCGGGGTCGGCGTACACTCTGACTCGCCGGAGGGACGACTGTTTATTCAGGGAGGAAAAGAGAAGTGGCTGTAGCCGGGAACAGACGGGAGCAGCACCAGAGCCACACAGAAGCAAGCAGCAAAGCGGCTCGGGAAGCGTGGGCTGCTCGGAGTCCCGGCACTGCCGACTGAGAAGCCGTGGAGAAAGACTGGGAAGGCCAGCGCTCAGAGGCTGCGTCCTGCCCTCCCTGGGCGGCAGCTCTGCTTCTGCCAGGTCTCCTTGGCTAGTGCTCAAACCCTCTAGTTATGTTTTTTAATTTGCCAGAGGACACGTGGGCTTCCCAGAGAGCACACACCCCCACGGGGGGGATGGCCACGCCTAATCTGCTCCATCTGGCCTGGTGCTCGGGCTGCGGGCTGTGCAGCATCACCTGCTCCCCAAGCACCTCACACCCCAGAAACCGTTGCCGGGAGCAGTACCTACTTCCTCTATGCTGCATGTTATTTTTTTTTAGAGACAGAGATTTTTGCTATAGGGCGGGTGTACTCGCCAGAGAGAGAGAGACAGCAAGAAGTCGCCCTGGGGATGGCCACACCACAGTCACTCTCTGCTCTACCGTGATTGGGGCTCGTGCATGCGCCCAGCCTGCACTTTTGTTTCTGCAGTGCCTGCATGGCATCAGCCAGTTCTCCAAGGGCGAAGGGTCAAGTGTGAGAGCCAGTGTGTCGGCACTCTAGTCCACACGGCTTAGCAGTGCTGGTTTTCAGGCCTGTGCGTGGACTAAAGAGGCATTTAAGAATTACATTATGGGGACTAGCAGTTAGCGTAATGGCTATGTCGCTGAACTCCCATGTAGCCAACCATGGTTCGAGTCCCGGGCCCAGTGGCTTAAACTCACACCAGGCGTGTGTGTGCGTGCCCAAAATCCCGAGAGGAGAATGGAGGAGGAGGGATAGTGGTGTGGCCATCCCCCCGGGGGATGATTCTCGCTTTCTGTCTCTCTCTTTCTGGTGAGCGCATGCGCCCTATAGCAAAAATCTCTCCCCCCAAAAATTACATTATGGCCTTTGGCCAGCACCATCCCCCAGTAATTCACCAAAATGATGAACACGAAGGGAAAGTGAGGCACTGGATAGATGTGTTCTCTAGGGTTTTATTTTTTAAATTATTTTATTTAACTTTATTTATTAATATTATCATTGTTTTCCGGTTTGATCAGAGAGAGACAGAGAGAGGGGAAGTGAGAAAGCAAGTCACCAGGTTCGGGACTTGAACCACAGTTGGCCATGTGGGAGTCCAGCGCCTTTAACCACCACGCCATCTGCCGGCCCCTCTATAACCTTTAGAAAGCATGGAGGGGTCCTTTGGCAACACATAGGAAATCTACGAGGAAGGCGGTATTGTCGACATCACGGGAATGGGAACTGTTCAAAAGGAGAGGCCCACAAACGTGATCACGGCAACACTGACGCGTCCACATCCTTACCCAGCACGGTGCTGGCCTCCCTGTAAACTAACAAGCCAAGAGCTCTTGCCCAGAGAGTGAATGTGCGAACTGAGCATATTAAGTATGCTAAGCGCAGAGAGAGCTTCCTAAAACGTGTGAAGGAAAATGACCAGAGGAAGAAGGAAGCCAGGGAGAAAGGGACCTGGGTCCCACTGAAGCGCCACCTGCCGCACCGGAGAAGCCACTGTGTGAGAGCCAGTGCAAAGGGGCCTGAGCTTCTGGAACCTGTTCCCTATGGATTCATGGCATGATGGGTGTTAAAAATAAACTAACCTGGCACCAGCAGGTAGTGTAATGGCCACGTCGTTGGACTCCCATGTAGTCAATCGTGGATCGAGTCCCGGACCCGGTGGCTTAAACTCACGCCGGGCGCGTGTGCGTGCATGCCCAAGATCCCAAGAGGAGAATGGAGAAGGGATTGCTGCGTGGCCATCCCCCTGGTGGGTGATTTCTCCCTTTCTGTCTGTCTCTCTCTCTTTCTGGTGAGCACACATGCTCTACAGCAAAAATCTCTCCAAAGGGAACCAGCAGTTAGTGTAATGGCTATGTCGCTGGACTCCCACGTAGTCGACCGCGGTTCGTGTCCCGGACCCGATGGCTTAAAACTCACTGGATATGTGTGCATGTGTGCCCAAAATCGTCTGGCGAGCGTACGCGCCCTACAGTGAAAATCTCTCAAAAAAAAAAAAAAAAAAAGAATAAAATCTCTCCAAAGAAAATAAACTAAGGAACCTACAGTCTATGGGAAAAAAGAAAAAGAAACATTACTTTTTTTTCTTAGGTTTTTGTCATAGATACATGTGCTCATTGGAGAAGAGGAAGAGAGAAAGCCGGGGAGATGGCCACGCTGCAATCCCTATGGCAAAAATTGAAAAATTTTAAAAATGATCAGAGGGGACCACCAGATGGCTTAATGGAAATGTCACCTAATTCCCACGTGTCAGTGCAGTTCCAGCAAAACTCATGCCTGCTGCAGGTGCATGCCCAAATCCCGAGACGAGAACGGAGGAGAAGAGATTGCAGTGTGGTCACCCCCTGGGGGGTGATTTCTCGCTTTCTTTCTCTTTCTTTGTCTCTCGGGCAAGTGCACAAGCCCTATAGCAAAAATCTCTCTTTAAAAAAATGATTTTTTTTCGAAGGATAGTTGCTGTTGTTTGTTTGTGGGTTTTTTTTGTTGTTGTTTTGTTTTTTAGAATAATTTTATTTAACTTTACTTTTAATTTGACCAGAGAGGGACAGAGCAAGAGAGAGACGGAAAGTGAGAAAGCAAGTCACCAGGTCTGAGACTCAAACCGTGGTCACCCATGTGAGAATCCACAGTTCTTTTTTTTTTTTCCTCCTTTTTTTTTTTTTTTTTTGGAGAGGTTTTTGCCATAGGGCGCGTGCGCTCGCCAGACAGACAGAGACAGAGAGACAGAAAGTGAAAAATCACCCCCCAGGGGGGATGGCCATGCCGCAATCGCTTCTCCTCCATTCTCCTCTCGGGATCTTGGGCACACACGCACATGCGCCCGGCATGAGTTTTAAGCCACCGGGTCCAGGACGCGAACCGCGGTCGATTACGTGGGAGTCCAGCGACATAACCATTACGCTAACTGCTGGTCCCGAGTCCACCGTTTTTAACCACCACGTCACCTGCCGGCCCGTCTCACAGAGTTTTATATCGACAGTTTCAGCGTTGACAATGAGGTCTATGACCCATTTTGGGTTCATTTTATTTGTGTAATTGCCAAGGGGCAGGCGATCTCATCGGAGAGAGACGGAGAGAAAGTAAGTGCCTTACAATGGAGCGATTTCTTCTACTCCCCTGAGTTACTTTTGTTTCATTGTTTTTATTTTTATTGCCAGAGGATGCATACACTCGTCAGAGGGAGAGAGAGAGGGGGGCCAGCAAGTGGCATGGTGGTTATGGTCCTGGACTCCCACGTGGCCCGCCACAGTTCGAGTCCTGGACCTGGTGGCTTAAAGGCCATGCTGTGTGTGTGTGTGTGCACATGTGCCCAGTCTCAGGAGGAGAAGGGACTGTGGCATGACCACCCCCCCACGAGTGGTTTCTCATTTTCCCTCTCACCGTCGTTCTCTCTGTCTCTCTCTAGCAAAAGTGTATGCCCTCTGGCAAAAACCAAAAAAAAAAAAAAACGAGAGAGAGAGGAGAGCCCCCAACAGGCTAGTGTGCCAGAGAGACAGAGACAGAGAGAGGGAAAGCGAGAAGTCACCCCCAGGGTGCACGTGTGCTCATGTGTCTTCTCAAGCTGCCGGGCCTGGGCTTGAACTGTGCGCTTGGCTGTGTGGGACCCAGTGCCTTAACCACCACATTACTTACTGGCCCACATCACAATCCTTTTTTCTCTGTTTCTCCATTCTGCCAAGATTGGGGGCACACCCATATGCACCTGGCATAGTTTTCAACCACCGGGACTGGGATTTGAACTGCAGTCAGCCATGTGGGACCCAGGTTTCCACGCACAACACTTGGCCGCCAAGCTGCGGGGCTGGCCGACCTTGAGTGTGTGTGCTAGTTTTGCATGCCATGAGACGAGGGGTAAACTCCTTCGTGTGTATGTATCCAACTGACTCAGCACTACTTGTTGAAAAACCCAGCAAAAATCTAAAAGTGACATCGATTTGGGATCCAGTTCTTTGGCCTCATGGTGGGGGCTGGATCTCAAATGGCAACTGTGGTTTGAATCCTGGTCCCGGCAGCTTAAGGAGCACCTGTCCCCGAGTGCCCAAGGTCCTAAGAGGGTAGGAAGCAGAGAAGAGGGTCTGCCGTGTAGCCGTGCCCCATTGGGGTGCTCTAGCAAGTGCTCGTGCCCTCTGATAATTGTTTTTATTTTTGTATTTAATTAATTTGCTTTTATTTAAATTAATTAATTTAGTAGATTTAGTTATTTATTTAACTTTATTTATTATTATTATTTTTAAAATTTGACCAGAAGGAGACAGAAAGTGAGAAAGCAAGCTGTGAAGTCTGGGGCTCCAGCCGTGGTCAGCCACGTGGGAGTCCAGCACCTCCACCACCACGCTGCCTGCTGGTCCCTACTGACTTTTTTAAGAGACTTTTTGCTATAGGTTATGTGTGCTCACTGGAGAGACAGGGACAGAAAGCAAGAAGTCACTCCCGGGGGGGACCAGTAGTTGGCATAATGCTCTGTCACTGGACTCCCGTGTAGTCGACTGTGGTTCAAGTCCCG